CAGGCAATGAATTCCAGAGCCTAGCCGTTCTATGGATGAAGGAGTCTTGATATAGTGCTGTTCGACATGTTTCGAGGTTGACAACGAAAGGATGTGCTGACTGGGCTTGTCTAGTTCGTCTGATTGGTATTGCTAGTTAAGGGATGATAGCAGAGACCTCCGAAGAACATTTCCCGTGGAAGTATCGATAGAAAAGTGAAAGGTCGCCGACCTTTCTACGGTGTTCCAATGATGTCAAAGAGTGAGTGAGTGTGGCGTCACCCACCAGGCGAATGGCTCAGGAAAATTCGGCTACTCTGCATGGCAATATCAGTCTGCGAACCGGCAGCAACGGAGGTGGATACAAAAAATCAAGCTACTGAGTGAGAAAAATGCTCAGTTCTATTGACGACAGTGGATTTCTCTTAGGCTCTGCTCCTCGAGAATTCACTGTCTTCGGACGGCCATTGGCTGAAGGCCCAAAAGACCGTTGAAAAGTATTGATTTTACAAGAGCGGCGCCAGCAAGTCTGGCGTCCTCTGATTGGCCAATTCTCTAAAAGCGAGTGAAAAAGTTGAAAACTGCAATAATTTGGCCATTTCTCGGCCGATTAATCTGCCGTATGGATTCAGAACCACTGTGCCATCCGGATGCTTAGAAATTGTTGCATGAAGCAGGGATTCAGTCTGTGCGTCCACACAAGCAGTTGCCTGCAAAGGCCATAAAAGTTTCCCCACCACGGGCTTTATTTTCAGTGTTCTCTCTGCAGGCGCTAGTATTGGCCAAAGGGTAATGGTCAAGTTGAACCTGTTCATAGAACTTTGTTGCCGATGATCGCAAGTTTTTCTGAAGCAGAAGACCAATGGGACAACAGCAAGGAAAGCAGAACATGCGATAAATACTGCTCTCAAAAAGAGTTCCAAAAAGGTCCATTCGAAAGTCTCCATGGATACTTATGTATATTTGATCAAGATACCCAGCGTACGAAGTTCAAGACGGAATAAGTAATAATAATAATAATAAATAAGTAATATCTTAGTAGATCAAGTGCGTTATAAGGACAGATACGATAAGAAAAGATTCATTGGAGTAAACTATGACATGGGAGACATCGTTTTCGCTAAATGTGCTAAGAATTCTACGTGCGAATCCAATAAATTGCGACCCAAATATTCTGGACCATTTGTGATAACTGATAAACTTCCTAGTGATACGTATCGTGTTCGCAATTTGGAACGAGATCATACAACCACTTACCATGTATCACAACTTAAACCATGTAATCTTCCCGATGCCAGTGATACGGAAGAGAAAGCAAATCTCGGAAAAACGAGTTTGAAGATAAGCAAGAAGATGGCGACAATAGAAGTTCATTTGAAAAAGCGACGAAAACCGATGAAAATAAGAACGGACCGATCCGCCCAAGAAGACAAATCAAGAAACCGATTAAATCCGAAGATTATGTATGCGATTGATAAGAAGATTGTAATTTTGATTTTATTTGTAAGAATGCTTGATTTACTTGTATTTTATTCATGGTGGATGATGGTGATATGATTGTGTGAGGACCCACTTTTGTCAGGACTGGCCGAGTGTTGAGTATTTCACTATTATTCCGGAGACACTCGATAGTAATAGTTCTGACGAGGGTTTTCATTCCGATTCTGACGGGTGTCTGTGTGAGTGCGACTGAATACTTTCCTGATTTTCATAATTATATTTGTGTTAATCAACTACGTCGTCCTTTCTTTCGATCAATTAGAAACGTATTTCTAGCAATAATATAATTATATACATTAACTCGTCTTGATTTCCCCTATTCACCATTTGGCTATGCGAGTCTCCTCATGAATCACCCTGTATACATGTATATGCCCATTACTTTCTCGGAAGGTTTCTTCCTGCAAAGAATAGTTTTGACGAAATGAAGAAATAATCGATAAAAAGTTGAAATCTTTTATTCGAAAATTTTCACTTTTCCAGTGTGTTTCTCTAAAACGGTTGGAAATTCGAAAAAAGCATGTGGGTATGAAAATTGTGGAAAATTCTATCAGCTTCCATTCAGTATGAGAACCTCTTTCTACCTCCTCTCTATAGCACACCTCTTAGATGTAAGCACTTTCATTATGTTTGCTTTCTAAACATCCTGCAAAAAATTAAGGTATCTTCCAGGTCCCTGATCACGTTCCCTAGACACATTTATTGAGTTTACTATTATTGTTTTTCCAGAAATGGTACAAACTTCCTGTTCAAACTATTTGCATGGATTCATACTGGATCTCATAGTATGTTTTCGGAGTGTATACATTCCTTAGCAGATACTATCAATCAACTCATCTTGGCCTATGGTATTCACAAATCAGTTCAGGTAAATTTATTGAGTTTGATGTTCATAGAATTGAATTAAAGCATGATTGTTGTATAGGCAACCAAACATATACTGCGTCCATCCACTGTTTAAGCTATAACTTACGGATTCTGCAAATTTCATCGAAGAATTTACGTGTTTGGCTTAACCTTTTTTCTGAACATTTTTTAATCTCTGTTTTCTAACACTAGGAATTCATTTTCTATGTTGATTATTTCGACAAATGTTGAATATCACTAATGTCAGTAAAAAGTTGACCAGTGCTACTGGGGATTCTAAGTAGTTTCTGGATTAATGATGTATTCGCAAATCAAGTTTTCTTCTTTGCAGAAGAGATGAGAAATATAGTCGACAGAAAAAAATGTGAGTAACTCTTATAGCAAAAGACTAATGATGATCTAGATTAATCTACAACATAAACGCGCTCGCTTTGCTCACACGTTAAAATATCTCGATCATTAATCGCCCTCATTAATACACTATTTAGTTGAATTACTATTTCGAGTTCCTGTAAATCGATAGTGTTACGATAATTATTGAAACACTAATGATTTTACTTGATATCTATTGGACTACACTCAGACAGGTATCGAATAGAACTGTGTCACTTCTGTTATCTGATTCACATTTTTCAACGGCAACATTGTATATAAAAACTCTTACTAATATCTCGTGATATATTCGAATATTATACCAACTATGAATTATCAGTAGTAACACCAGAAGTGATTGAATTTTCGCGAGTCTGTCGAGTCATTTCTGAACGAAACTGAATTAATCGAGAAAACATCGCAGGAGTGGTGTTTTCTCGAAGCAATTCAGTTGGGCTTAGGGATGAAAGACAGACTTATGAGATAAATTCCATTACGAATGGCATTCAATTAGACTATTTCACGAAGTGAAAGAAGAAAAATCTTAAATTTCATATAATAAAGTTTAATAAACTGAACACATTGACATCGAACAAAATACATATTCTATCGAACCAGTAATACCATAACATCGCACTTGAAAACTTTTCAATTGTTTAATCCTAGATGATGTACAGTTATGATATAGGTACAATACTTCGATCTTGATTGATCAATATTTGTTATTATGTTGATTGTTATCATTTCTCACATTCGCAATGAGTTTTCGTGATGCTGTTCACTAAGTTGGATGTAATCAGCAAAATGCGTGCACAGCGTTATTACTTATATTTGACGTTCAACTGTCATATACACATTATATGAGTATTATTTCAATGAACGTTAAGTGGGACAATCAGATGATTCGCCCTAATATATCACTGCGTTAATTTTTTTATCAGAGAGCAAAAAAAAAAACGAGGAAAAAACCAATCATTTGTCAGTGACACATTGTTCTGAAAACTATTTGAAGAAAAGAGATATACAGGCTGTATCCAGAATTGGAGCTATTCTCGAAATGGGTAATAGAAGACGACAATACAAAATGAAATGAAAAAAAGCATTGTTAAGAAAAAAATATTTTGGGACATTGAGATATGAAGTTTTAGTCTAAAGTGACCCAACATTTGAGGATCATTATGTAGATGCGTTATCTTCAGAGGTTACTGACCGCGTCGATCATTCAAGGGCAGGGAGGTATAGTGTGTTGTAGTATACTCTTAAGAAGGTTGAATGATTTCTTAGATTCAAAGGAATTCCACCATTGGAATAGGGGAATAAGTTGTTGAACTAATCCTGGAGAATTGTTCGGAATTTTTTTTCACCAGCAAGTTAAGAATAGTACCTTGAATCTGTGATACATTCCTGTGTTTACATTGTGTGCTTTGTATTAAGTCTAGAATGCATCACAATACCAAATTTCAAAACATAAATTGAAGGAAAAGTTTTCCACAGAAAATATCGAATCTACCTACTTCACTTCATTTCTATTCTTTTTAATAGCTATGTTTGATTCTCAACAAACCAAACAAAACCCTAATAAAAAAAATGACTCCCAAAGTCACTTTACCTACCTTATCGACTTTTGAATTGAACACAACAGATAATTCTTACAACTATGCCTATGATTTTTATTTCTCCATCTTAACATTTTAAGAAACACAAAAAATAAGATTATTTTTCTCATTGAAGCTAATGCGTCAGAGAGATTATAATCTTTGGGACATACGGGTTGCCTATTGTCCGGCTTTGGATTTGCCTAAATTTATATCCCTGCTTCCAGTTACTCGAGGTCGAGCTCAAACGCATGCGTATCCATTTACAAAGATCGGGGAAACACTGAAGATTACTTCACGTCACTTCATTGCATTCTATAACTTCAGTCATTCCTTATCTACTGTGTTTTTTTCAGTTATGCGGTGAGATGAGATAGCGTGACTTTGATGAAACTTCTTCATTTTTTTTACCTAACTTTTTTCAAGTGATTGTTTTTGTTAGACCTAACATTTTATGAAAACATTTTGAGGAGGATTCATGCAACATCAACTAAATTATTATGAATTTGATATTTAACCCTTACAAAACCGAGATTAAAAAAAATTGAATTTACAGTTAATATTGTCTTGGGAGTGAACATATTAGAGCACAAGAAGATGAATACATCTCATTAAAGCATTCATTCCGAAAAATGTATTTATTTCTTGGGGGGTGAAATTGTTTTCTTTTGCATTTTCATCGTTCAAATGATCAGCAAAAGGTTCGTTTGGAATTTTCACACTGGATGGAGTAATTTTCTTTGGCAAGAAAATATTTGCTTTTGAAATTTTAACGTGTCCACTGCAACTTCTGAAAATATGAAAGCGGTAGATCATCTTCAGAATCTGAAGAATTGTTGATTTCATCTGTTCTCTCAGTTGGTGGCTCCTCAGGTAAATCAAACTCATCTTCTTCCGCTTCAGACCCAAAATTCGGCCCCAGTTCGTCTATGAGTTGAAATAATTTTTCCTGATTATCTCTAAGGCGGTCCAGATCAACTACATCATCACTTCGTCCCGCAATGAAATTCTTATTCAATTACAGGAATTACAAGCGAAACGCTGTCCCCCGTTGCTCACAATTGCGATATGCGCTACGAATTCGTCTTTGGAAGCAAAAATTAGAAACATAATTGCAATTTACACATACAATACAGTACACTTATTTGTTGTTCATTGCCGTATTTTAAATATTAACACCTAAAAATTCCTACACAATTTACAAATAATTGATCACTTACCTACACGGGACATTGTGGAAAATACCTACACTTTCGAGGTTGCAACTAGAATGCGATTCCTGGAAAACAACCAGTTTCTGCGCGGATATTCAATGAATGCGTACTTCACAATCATGTCGTACGGTTTTCAACCTAGTAAAATCATATTTTGACCCTTATAACACGAGAAAATTAGGAAGTCACAATCGTGTCGTTCGGGAGCGTAAGGGTTAAACGAATTTTAAATTGAAAATATATGGGTGTTCATGCAGACACCTTTCATCAGCTGTTCAATCTTTTCCCAGTGCGGCTAGTCATCTCTCTTGAGGTGGAGTTATGCAACATCAACTAAATTATGATGAATTTAAGATTTAAACGAATTTTAAATTGAAAGTATATGGGTGTTCATGCAATAACCTTTCATCAGCTGTTAAATCTGCTTCCAACGCTATCACAGTTCTCAACACACTAAATGGACCACTCTATTCCGAAGACCTGTATTTCCTGAAAAAATTGATCAATCTTCATGCGGTTTTCGATATCAGATGTTATATTTCATCGGCTTCAAAGAGAGCTAGAACACTCTGGAAAAGTCCGCAGAACAAAGCTTACACAGGGTGTAAAGTGGAACCATTACACTATGGTCTACATTTACAATGCTGCCAGAACTCGATAATTTTTTTTTCTGATCAAAAGTCAGTCATATTATGATACACTGTGACCTCATCTCGGGACGTCTTCGTGATTTATCCTCAATTGGCAATTGGAAGAAAAATTCGAATTTTTTTCTTGCATTTCTTGAAATTTTTTTCTAGAACTACACTTGAGCTGACTATTGAAAAAAACTGTTTTCATGTTTTGTGGAGGACAATGGAAGACGAACGAAGCACTATTGTGGAATATACAGAATGATAAGAAAATAGGACAAAATCTCATTCCAGTAAAAAAAAAATCAAAAAACTTGTAGATTCTTATATGATACAGGGATTCCAGAAAGGCGTTCATTTTGTACCATATTCAGAACTTCTAGCCCACGGGAGTTTCTTCTTTGGAGCGATTCACAAGACAATATTTTTTTATATTTTTGCATTTAGATTTTTTCAAACATATACGCTGAGCATCGCGTCCACTTTCGCAGAACTGCAGACAGATATTTTTCAAGAGAAACTATGATTCGTCAATTTTGAATATCTTCTTCCAAACATATATTTTGAGGTTACTCTATACGCCCAACCCATGGTGAAAGTATAATTCCACCATGGCACAACCGGCATGTGCATCTGCATATTATATTATTTCATAACATGCGCATGCCCCTTGTCACAATATCTTATCTGTGATCTTATGTCGTGTCACACAGCACAGAATTTTCCCACAGAAATTGATTCAGATAATTCTGAATGTTTTATTGTGTTCAATTATGATACATTTCATGAGTGAAAAACTGGCCTGTGTCATACGGACTTTAGGCTTCTGATAGAAAATTTCTTTGAACGCAGTGACATTCTGAGCAAATCTGATTTGACGTATATTGAAATAATGCTCATATTTTTATTTTATAAAAAAGAGGAGAGAAAATCCCGAATAATCAGGCAAAATGGAAAATATATATACAGGCCAAACTTCAAGGGGTAATTATACGGGTGATTCTAAGACAATGAGTTCAGATAAACAAAGGTCCAGAAATGCTTCGTTTCCAAGATACATGGTGTGAAAGTTTCAATAAAAACTCGGTTTTTATTAATTGGTACTAAAAATTTTGTTTTCCAATTTCAATGCCATTTGGTGTTTTTTTAAACAGTAACAGCTTCTTTTGGTGTAATTAGATTCGAAATAATAATTCCAGGGGCGTCGCAGTGGGTTAGCAACAATCAATATTTCCAACTTCAACACCCTGTATCTTGAATACAAAGCATTTCAGGACCAAGTTTATATAAACTTTTCGTCTTAGAAACACTCGAATAATCTCCCCTGGAAGTTCGAGGATTAAAATATGGATTCCATTTTTACCCTCTTTTGGGAAACACATTTTAATTTGGTTGTAATGTATTTTAACTCAATGTCGTTAGTTTTAAACTGGACCAAAGATATTTTTATGGACGAATTTTCCTGTTAACCTGACGAGTACGCACTGATGATGACTTAACAGTCGAAAGCGCTCTGCTACGAATATTCGAATATTGAATAAAGTATTTTGCACGAAATACGAATCTTCCCTTCTTTGGTATATATTCACGTGCACACAGCCCAGAAACCCTCACACATACTCACATAACACCCTTGTATATAATTCAGATGATTTTATTTTGTTGCAGATTGCAGATTCCTATCATCCTTATGGATATTCAAATATGAAATACGTAGCTTCACTCATATCTGGTGTTGGTATATTCTGTGTTGGAACAGGTCTATCATTCTACCATGGCATAGCTGGATTAATGAATCCACAACCACTAGAAGATTTATTCTGGGTATGGAAAATTTATCTGATATCATCCAATGCATTTCGTTACTTCTAATTCCCAGTAGAAATTGCATATCGTGAGACTCCTCCTCCACTTAGGTGTGGAAGGTATAATACATTAAGAGAGTGTACTCATTCACCTAATATAATACTCGTAAGGTTATTACGTGTGTGTATAATTCGAAATGATAATTAGTAGTAGTTTATTGAAACGAACTTCTATAATTTATAAAATAATAAAATTCATTCATCTCGTCTTCATATGGTAGAATTGCTGTTATCACGCCGTAGGGATGCCACGTAGATAAAGAGGTTATACTACGAGTCATTGACGACCTGATAGATAGACATTCATATGTTTTATTGAAACAATTAGCTACGATTGTGATGAATATTCTGAAATTACGGTCTTTCGTCATCAATGAATGATCCGAATGCCTCTTGTGTTTCTCCTTATCAGGTCACATTGTAGAACTTTTGAAATTATCTCTTGATTGTATCCTAAATATCATCTGCCATACTTTTTGTTGTTATTCTTGTTTTCTCTATCATGACTGAACTATTTCTCTTTTCTCTTTTTCTCAGTGTATGTATAACCTGAACACTGTTATATTAATAATTTATATACAGTGTCACTCATAAAGTCGGCATCATATGGGAAAAACTTTTATTAATGACTTGTTTTGGAATTCGAGTTGGGCGTTAAGTTTTGCTTCAAAAAAGATGAAAAATGTTCTACTCAATCGGGTCACGTGACTTTCGCTACTAGTGACATTTTTTCAAAGTAATCGCTGAAAGTAGGCTTATTTGTTCGAATATCGAAAAAGTTTACTTGAAAAACTTGTTTCAATCCCAATTTTACACATGCTTCTCGAATTTGATCTGTCTATTGCAACTTTTAGATTTTGACTTTTTTTTAATTATTCGAAATTTCTGTAATATTTGAAGAATCGTTAATTCCACAAAAGTACTCCATATACCAGTAGCTTTTTCATGCTACTTACTTTCAATTACTTATTATCACTGATTATGGACAGAAATATGATTTTCTTCAGAAAATGATAATACCCGCTTCCAAATTCTGTTATTTTTGTTGCAAAGTTGATATATCGTCAAGCATTTAGAAACGAAATTCATTTAAACTGATCTTTTCAGTACCGAGAAAATGAATTTGAAGAATTTCGTTTCTAAATGCTTGACTCAAATATAACAGAATTTTGATGTTATGTTTGCATAAAAAATAACAGAATTTCGAAGCGGAGATTATCATTTTCTGAAGAAAATCATATTTTTGTCGATAATTAGTGATAATTAGTAATTGGAAGTTAGTAGCATGATGAATCTACTGGTATGAAGTAGTTTTATCGAATTCACAATTTTTTCAATATTACAGAAATTTCGAAAATTTTTGAAAAATATCGAAATCTAAAAAATGTAACAGAAAGATGAAATCCGAGTCACATATATGTGAAATTCAAATAGAAACAACTTTTTCAAGTAAAGTTTTTCGATATTCGAACAAATAAGCCTACTTTCAGCGATTAATTTGAAAAAATGTCACTTTTGACATGTAGCGAAAGTCACGTGACCCCGATTGAGAAGGCCATTTTTCATCTTTTTTGAAGCAACACTTAACGTTCAAGTCATTAATAAAAGTTTTTCCCATATGATGCCGACTTTATGAATGACACTGTATTTGTTCGAACCAATTTGCTTGTAATGAGGATTCCTCTTTACATACAATAAATGTTATTGATTGATTGATTTAAAAGGGATTTTGATAATGACGGGTCGAAACTGGTCTCTTCGGATCGGCCCGCTCTTGTTTTCGTGCAACTGTTCGAACTGGTTTTTTCTCCTCATCCAAGAAGCTCTTGATAATGTTTATAAGTTCTATAGTTGGATCTTGCCTGGGATTGTCTGCTATGTTCTTACATCTATTTTGTTGCTTCTTGTGTAGCTATTGTCGCGGCCTCGATTTCTCGCGCAGCTGCCACAGCACTGCGGGAGTCTTTATGGCGAGTCAACCGAACCGCTT